TGAAAGAGGAAGAAATAGAAAATTTGAACAGACCCATAACAGCAAACAAATTGAATGAATAATCAAAAATCTCCCGGGGCACCTGGGTGGCTCAGTTGGTCGAGCATCTGACTTCGGCTCAGGTTATGATCTCATGGTTTGTGAGTTCGAGCCCCGCGTCAGGCTCTGTGCTGCAAGCTCAGGGCCTGGAGCCTGCTTCAAATTCTGTGTCTCCTTCTCTCTCTGCTCCTCCCCTGCTCGCACTCTGTGAGTGAATAAAGATTTAAAAAGAAAAAAAAATATTTCCCAATAAACAAATCTCCCAATAAACAAGAGAGGGAAGGCCAGATGTCTTCCCAGGGGAATTCTACCAGACATTTAAAGAAGAGTTAATACCTATTCTTCTCAATCTGTTCCCAAAAAAATGGAAATGGAAGGAAAACTTCCAAACTCATTCTATGAAGCCAGCATTACCGTGATTCTAAAACCAAAGACCCCACTAAAAAGGACAACCACAAGGCCAATATCCCTGATGAACATGAATGCAAAAATTCTCAATAAAATACCAGCAAATTGAACTCAACAGTACATTAGAAGAACTATTCACCATGATCAAGTGGGATTTATTCCTGGGCTGTAGGGCTGGTTCAATATTTGCAAATCAACGTGATACACCACATTAATAAAAGAAAGGATAAGAACCATATGATCTTGTCAATAGATGCAGAAAAGCATTTGACAAAACACAGCATCCTTTCTTGATAAAAGCCCTCAACAAAGTAAGAATAGATGGAATATACCTCACATCACAAAAGCCATATACCAAATACCCATGGTTAGTATCTTCCTCAATGGGAAAAACTGAGAGCTTTCTGCCTGAGATCAGGAACATGACAGGGATGTCCACTCTCACTTCTGTTGTTTAACATAGTATTGGAAGTCTTAGCCTCAGCAATCAGACAACACAAAGGAATAAAGGCATCCAAATCAGCAAGGAGGAAGTCAAACTTTTACTCTTCGCAGATGACATGATACTCTACATGAAAAACCCAAAAGATTCCACCAAAAAACTTCTAGAACTGATCCATGAATTCAACAAAATTATAGGATATAAAATCAATGCACAGAAATCGGTTGCATTCCTATACACCAATAATGAAGCAACAGAAAGAGAAATCAAGGAATCGATCCCATTTGCAAGTGCACCAAAAACAATAAGATACTTAGCAATAAACCTACTAAAGAGGTAAAAGATCTATACTCTGAAAACTATAGAACACTTCTGAAAGAAATTGAAGAGGACACAAAGAAATGGAAAAGCATTCCATGCTTATGGATTGGAAGAACAAACA